CCCCCCCCTCCCTCGCTATGGGTCATGCCTACGCAAAACCTTGCCGAGGCAGCGAGGGGAACAAAGGAAGTGGATAGCGCTAGTTTGTGTGTACACAGAGGGAAGAGAGTGCTGAACTCTTCTCGCATTGAAAATCGAAGGCAATGTACCGCAGGAGGGGAGGGTAGAGCGCTTCTGTGTGTCCACGGGTTGGGGTAAACGGCACTAGTGCCGTGAGCGCTGATTTGAAGTGAAGACCAAAAAAATATATATATACATATATAGTCTCGGGGCTCCTCCTTCTTATCACCGGGGTGACAGCATCTGCCCTGGGCAATCACACACACAACCGCGTCAGCTGTGTGCGGGGAAACACCCCGCATGAAGACCCCCAACATGAACGTGCAGGCAGAGCAGAATGCAGCCGCTAGTACCTCCGCTTCTTCGACAACTGCTTCGACTGCAGCAGCGCAGGAGCCACAGCAGATCACCTCCTTCTTTGGGCCCGCCCACACCTCTTCTGCGCAAGAGGCTCCTACTCCTGCTCCTGCATATCTAACAGCAGCAGGAGCTGGAGCAGCAACAGGCGCCGACATGACAGCCCCCGCATCGCCTCAGCAGCAGCCAGTTGCTCTCTTGCTCTCAGCAGCACGTGCGAGCACCGCAGCAGACGAGTCAACGCGCACCAGCCAAGTATCTCAGCTGGTGGACGAGTGGCCCAGCACTTCCGTCGGCACGGAACAACGATCCAAGTGAGTGTACATGTGCTTCGTGGATTTGGCGTAGTATCAGTCCGCGTGTGGTCTCGAGACGTCGTGGGTTGGCTTTTGCACCACCCGCACACTCCAGGGTTCGTGATTTTTTTTTCATTTTTTTTTGCACCACACGTTCCCATACACATGTTGAGAGTTATTTTGTGTGCAGTCTCTTTTTTAACCACACGTTCTGGTACACGTTGTGTAAGTTGTTTTGTGTGCATGTGGCTTTTTTTTTCCACACGCTCCCGGAAAATGATTCTGTCGTTGCGTGCCTATTTCGTAATTGTTTCGTTTGCAGTATTTTTATGGCCATTCGTCGGTATTGTACGCATTTTAAGTTGTGTTTTTGTGTGTCGTGGAAATGCTGCAGCTTTGTTTGCAACTGGCATCTCCACAGCACCCTGATTAATTTTCAATGGTGCTGCTTTGCACATTTATTGTTCACCCCAACGTGTACTTTCAACCGTCAAACGTTTTTGGAACATTAGACACGGTGCCCTTGTCGACCAAAAATGAATCAGCATACTCTTTGTGAAGAAACAGCTTTGGTTTCCGCCCACACGACACACGTTTCCGTGCGTTCCAACATCGACCGCTTCGTGCCTTCCCGCGCATATTTTTCTCCCTTTGTCTTGTGTAGGGTGCGCGGCAAACCCGGAGCGCCTCTATCAGGAGCAGCACCGGCGCCAGCTCCAGTACCGGCGCCAGCTTCAGGACCGGCGCCAGCTCCAGCATCGGAGCCAGCTCCAGCACCGGCGCCAGCTTCAGCACCGGCGCCAAGTCCAGCATCGGCGCCAGCTCCAGCACCGGCAGCAGCAACGCCGACAGCGGGAGGAGCGCCGGTGGCCAACGATGCTGCATCCGGCGACATGATGTTTCCCGGAGAGACAAAGTGGGGAGATGGGTTCGGTGGCGTTCTCTTTGGTACGCCGGCACAGACAAGGGCAAGAGGAAGAAAGGGCAGCTGGAGTTGGAGCCACCGAACTTCCCGATTCCCGAGCTTGGTGGTGGAAGCCAAAGGAACCGCTACCTTCTGAAGTTTAAGGTGGATGCGGTGAGGTACTCACAGAGGAAGATCAAGGGGGCGCAAGGGCCGAACGAGACTGTTGGGATAACCTACGCGTCCAGGATCCAGAAGATTCCCGACAAGGCGACGTTGGCGGCGTGGGTTAAGAACGTCGCCAAGTACGAAGCCGCGCTGGCGGAAGCGGACACGTACAAGGGAGGAGCGAAGCACAAGAAGGACGCCAACAAATGCTTGTCGCTGAACGTCGGACGGATCAGGACGCACACGGCGGCCGACCGTGAGGTTGTGGACTGGGTCAACGAGCTGCGTTCTGAAGGCATCTCCGCCCGTGTTTCGACGAAGATGATCAAGAACAAGGCCGTCGAACTCAATACGAACTTCTTCGGGAAGAGGCCGGCGCCATCCGATCTCCAGGGCTGCCAGAAGTACAAGAACAGGCAGAACCAGTGGTGCAGAAGGTTTCTCAGGATCTACCGCTTCTCTGTGCGAGCTGTCACCCGGCAAGGTCAGAAACTTCCTTCTGGCTGGCCTTTGGTCGCCATGCAAGCGATCGAGGGGTTGAAGAGGCTGAAGTACGACGTGCCTTCCGCGCTCGAACTTGCGGACGGAGTCGAGGGTGTTCAGGAGANACTGGGTCAACGAGCTGCGTTCTGAAGGCATCTCCGCCCGTGTTTCGACGAAGATGATCAAGAACAAGGCCGTCGAACTCAATACGAACTTCTTCGGGAAGAGGCCGGCGCCATCCGATCTCCAGGGCTGCCAGAAGTACAAGAACAGGCAGAACCAGTGGTGCAGAAGGTTTCTCAGGATCTACCGCTTCTCTGTGCGAGCTGTCACCCGGCAAGGTCAGAAACTTCCTTCTGGCTGGCCTTTGGTCGCCATGCAAGCGATCGAGGGGTTGAAGAGGCTGAAGTACGACGTGCCTTCCGCGCTCGAACTTGCGGACGGAGTCGAGGGTGTTCAGGAGACTTTCTTTGTGAACGGGATGCTTCAGTTCTTGAGACCTAGTGCGAAGCCTCGGAAATTGACGTCTTTGAGGACAACGAAGGAGCGATTGCGCTTGCAGAGAATCCGCTTAGCTCGAGTAGGAGTAAGCACATTGACGTGAGGCACCACTTCCTTAGGAATTTGACGGAGGAGGGCGTGATCGAGGTCACCCATGTCCCAAGCAAGGAGCAGCATACTGACATCCTCACAAAGGCTCTACCGAGAAACCTTTTTGAAGTTCACCGTTACTTTTTCCTTGGCTCAGTAGCTGAGAAGTGGAGATCTGAGTTAGTATCTGATTTTGTATTATTGGGTCTGGTCGAGACGACAGCCCCAAGGGAGGGTGTTCGTGAATTGTGGCTGTAGTATCGAATGCATGACGTGTATTGCGGTGTAGAAGGTGATACTTGGTATTGTAACGAAACGTAACACAAAGGTCAGTAGATTGCAGCGAGTAGATTGTAGCGAGTAGATTGCAGCGAATAGATTTATTGCTGAGGAAAAGCTGTAGCAAGAAGCCATGGGGAGCGCAGCCCACCGTGCTCACTCCACCTTGCCGACCTGTCTCTCCGGGCAAGTTCTCATTAATACACCACATATTTCTCCAGAAGTCACGAGTTTCCAACACTGTGAACGCGAGCATTAGCTTTGCCCTAGTTTTTGCTCGTACTGCGTTAAATGTAGCAATCCTGTCCTTTCCTCTGTGAACGCTTCTTTTAGGCCACCCTTTTTTTTTGTGAGGAACTGTGCACATGTAGATAGTTTGCGTCGTTTCTTCTTTGCCTTTTCTCTGATTTTGGTCATAATTTTTTTGCAAGCATTGCTGCCACTTTCCGAATCTTGACAACAAAAGTCGTTTCCACGTACCCCACTTTGATGTCGGTTTTAGCTGTTCTACGAAATCCCGCAGGCCACGGGCGAGAAGGAGATTGCCGTCAAAACCGGCGGCAAGGAGAAGAAGCGCATCACTTTGGTCCTGACCGTGTTCGCCGACGGCACCAAGCTGCCGCCCCTCCTCATCTTCAAGGGCCAGCCCACTCCGAAGGGGAAGTCCCCCGCCGCCAACAGCATCGAGCGCGAGTTCAAGAACTGCAAGGACAGGAAAGGCTACGCGTACCCGCGAGGTATGGCCTACGCCGTAGACCCCAAGGGATGGCACTCCCAGCGGGTGTTCGACGAGGTGCGGGTGCCGCAGGTGTGGAACCGGCGCCCGGGGCGGCTCGGCCGCCTGGGCGGCTACCCTCAGCCTGACACGCTTCTTGCGTGGGACGACTACACCGTCCACAAGACGGACGCGTCGACCAAGGCGATGAAGGAGTCCAACACGACGCTGTTCCTCATCCCGGGAGGCCTGACTCCAAAGCTCCAGCCTTGCGATGGCCTGGTCAACAAGATCTTCAAGGCGAACATGTCCAGGCTACACGACGACCACATGGCTTCCAAGGACGTCACGCGCAACGACCGGGGCTATCCGGAGCCCCCTTCGCGGGGTTTGGTCACACAGTGGGTCAAGAAGGCGTGGGATGCCTTGACCGCGGATGAAATCCGCTCGAGCTGGAGGAAGGCTGGCCTTCTGCTGCCCGTCAACGGGTCGGAAGACGAGGCCTGGGCCAACAAGGAGCTCCGCACCAACGCCAAGGGGGCGCCCATCTGCGTGCCATGGACGCTGCGGACAAGGCTGACTCGTCGTCCGGAGGCGATAACTTGCTGGAGGTGTTGGACATCGACTATGATGACGACACGGGCGTGGTGGTGGTGGTGGACGTGAGCGACGACGAGGGCGAGGAGCTGTGAGGCATCGGCAGCAATGCTGGTGTTGAGAAAATGGCTTGTGGTGTCCTTCTCATGTTTCCTCGGGTTTTTCCTGGCGTACCTTTCTGTTCCTTCCGTCGTCTTTGAGTGGGTGTGAAGAAACTCTCGGCTGTTTTCCTCGCCGCGTGGAGTGCAACGTTGTTGTGTCTCGTATTCAGTGAAGATTTGCGGATTGTGGTCGTTGATTCTTGTTCGTGGTGTCTTTGCGTAGCTCTCTTTTCGTCGTACCCAAAGCAAGGCAAGCAGCAGCAAACGTTTTGGTGAGGGGGGCAGGAAGAATGGCTCACCCAGTCTGTGGCCACGGCCAATCATCGTATCGGTCGAGGTACCTTCGATTTTTAATTTATTCTTGCTCGATTCAAGCCCGTATATTGTTTCAAACTTTTTTTGGCGATGAGAGGGTTGAGTTATCGCCGAGGACATGTGCTCAGGAGTTTCGTCATCTCGGTTGAGCCCCTTCGTCTTTCCCCGCCCCTTTAGGTAGGTCCCTACACTGCACGTATACGTGCAGGCATGGCTTTCACACCCCCTTTTTTATCACACCCCAAAGCACACGCTGTGGCTGTTCGGACGCGCTATCACACCCCCTGGTTTATCACACCCCCTTAGAGGCCCCTACGAGCTGCACTTTATCACCCGGGGTACACAAGATAACACACCCCCCACAGGATACCACACCCGGTGATAATTTTTTCAAACATCATAATGTTATCACCGGGGTGTGTTATCTTGTGTCATATACGGTATGCATATCCGATCCAATCGTTTCTCGGACCGAACTGAAAGGGTAGTCTATACGTTCCCCCTCGGCCTGCTCCCCGGCCGGGGCCGAAATCGACCTAGTGAGTCCCTCGCGGGCGAACCAGGCCACAACAGATGGTAGGCGGGTGGCGTCCCAAGGTGCAACTCACCGTCGCGCTGGCTCAGCTTGGCGGTGAGGAAGCACAGACGGTGGTAGTGGCGAGAGGTGTGTAGACTACGGACACACTGCTGTTCCCGCGGCAGTAATACAAAGCGGCAAACTGCACCTGGCAACCACCGTCGCAGAAAGCGTGGCCCAAGAAGCTAGAGGAGTAGAGAGACTCGTAAACACCACGTCAGGAAGCACCACTCGCGGGAGAAGGGAGACAACCGCGGGCACCGCGGGGAGGGAGTGCTGCACCCTCCTCGTCAAAACACAAGCAAAAACCGAGCTCTGCAGAGATGGATTGATGCGAGGAAACTCGCCTCTCGGAAAATACTGAAATACGGAAATACATACATCCGTGCAACCGCACTCACGCAATCGCCTCGTCTGGGGCTATTTCCCACAGCAGTTGCAGCATGCGTGGTCTCGATCATGTGCTACTTGCTGCGATTTAATGTAGAAAGGTTGTTGGAAAAATTTTGTAGCTTGTGCAAAGGCCTCCAATCAAATGGAAGCCCAATAGGGACAGTTTGGGGACGCAGCACTCAAATTGCCTATTCCTTTTCCGCACCACTCTAAGTTCCGCTGTGTGCAACGCACGGGAGAACCCTTGGTCTATCATGCTTGGCTGAGGTGGTACGCTGAGTGACATGCTGTGTGATGCCTCTCCTGGGCCTCTGACTTGTACTTCTCCCAACCCGCATGCCCCCTAGGTCGTAAAACTGTTCAGTACATGGCCGTTGTACCACTGGAAATTTGCCGACTTGGCTTCTTCAGCATGAAAAATGTCCCCGCATATTTTCATTTTTCATACAGATAGGGCCCGGAGATAAGAAACGCCAACATCGGGTCCAACCTCAGTATTTTATTCTGGGCTGAAGGACCAGCCGAAGTCGACCAACTTCTTCAACGATTTTCTATTCCTTAGGACTGTCACATCCTGCTGATTCTCTTAATTTCTTGTTTCTTGTGATGGCGAAGAAAACGCACCAAGCCTTCATGCAGCATTACACTTAACGCCCGCAATTTAGAAACGCTTATTTCAGGTCCAGCCTTGAATTCTTATGTGGGCTATGAACTCAGCGTATATCGTTCGATTTCGTCTGTCAAGTTTCTTGTTATTTCGTGCCGCCAAATCCCGCTGAATTTCTTAAATGGTCAATTTCTTGTTTTCTCTGCCTACGAGAGGTCCATCAAAACCGTACAGCAGACGGCATATCGTGGTTCGCAGCCTGTCTGACTAGTGTGCTGTACCAGAGCCAGAGCGCCAGACAGCGCCAAAGCCGGCAGGGGAGCGGAAGGGGGCGTACTCTTATGTTTTGCATGCCTTAGCGGTTAGACCATTGACCACGCGTCCTCGAGAAGACGGAGCATCGTTCCCACAGGACCGAGCACCGATGGCCAATCGTTCCTTTCTACTTTGCCAAAGGTGGCTCAAAAATGTCTTCCCTAGTCTGTCTATCCTAACGATATCCCTTCCCGCCTGTTCAACCCATCTGCTATGCCCAAGTACAGATACCGTCCTTTCCTCTCTATTCCATGCCTCAAATCTCCCTGTGCGTCCCATCTATTTTTCCCAGCTCAGTCACGCGCACTTCCCTCTCCTTCTGGTACACGACATTCCGCGACTACATGAACACGGTCTTCGCATTCGAAGCCGCAATCACATTTGAACTCGTCGTCTTCCTCGTCTACCGTCCTATGTCTTCGTCGACGTTCTCGAAGGCCTATGTCCCCGGTCCTGAATTTGACCTTAAGCTTTGTTCCTGCATCCATTGGTCCATGTAGGTAGTCCTTGAACCCTATTCCTTCCTTCAACATTCCGAACACTTGTAGACCCTACTTATCCTTGGATTCTTTCATTAGACTCTGTTCTTCTCTCTCGGCACAAGCAACAGATACCCTCTGTTTCCAGCGANTACCCTATTCCTTCCTTCAACATTCCGAACACTTCTAGACCCTCCTTATCTTTGAGTTTGACCTTAAGCGTTGTTCCTGCATCCATTGGTCCATGTAGGTAGTCCTTGAACCCTATTCCTTCCTTCAACATTCCGTACACTTCTAGACCCTCCTTATCCTTGGATTCTTTCCTCAGATTCTGTTCTTCTCTCTCGGCACAAGCAACAGATATCTTCTCCTTGAACCCCTGTAGACCCTCCGTTTCCAGCGTTTCATCTTCGTCGATGTCGAGCCCCTTCCATACGTCCTCTACAACCTTGACCCATTCCGTGGGTTGTCTACCCCTCTTTTTGTTTGCCCACTTCGCCTCCCATACAATCCTCGGCAACCTCTCCTCTCCCATCCCGCACATGCGATACTGCCAGGTCAGCTTCCTCGCGTCTCTTCCCGACCGTAGGGATTGGATCCCCAATTCTGCCCTCACGGCTGCATTACTTGTGCGCTTGGAGCATCTTAGGATGACTTTCGCGGCTTTCATCTGCGCCGCCTCGAGTTCTCTCACGACCTTCTTATTTCCTTCCCATACTTCTCCGGCGTACTCTAGCGGCGGTGCGATTACGCTCTTCAAAACCGTCAATTTGATGCGGGTATCGAGGTGCCGGTTTGCGAGTATTAGGTGCAGCTTCCCTGCTCGTGTTTTGCACTTTTCCGCTACCTTG